GCAATGGCATCGGTCAAGGTGGCCGTGAGGGTCCGGCCCATGAATCGCAGGTGAGTGGTGGGGGGCGGGGCGCAGGCCGCCCCCGACGCGTCCCCACCTGGAGGAAGTGGGTCTCCAACTCCCCTCCAAGGCTAGCCTCGACTTAAGTGTCAAGAGCGGGTCTCAGGCCCTCTGGGCCCTGGCTGTGGCCTCTGGGGGCCTGGGGCACTTGAAGCTTTGCCGTCTCTTTCTCGCTGCCCTGGAGGGCACCCTGGGAGTGAAGAGTTCCCCAGGCCACGGAGAAGATTACTGTAAACTCTTCCCGGTCCCACTAATTCGGGGAAGTTTGCTTGTTCCTCTTTTAAAAAGCATCTAGGGATCACTTTCAGAAAGGTGTAACTCCTTTGAGGGGAGCACCAAAGGTGTCAGGCAAACTCCCCTCAATTATGCAAACTCAGAAGTTCTCTAACGATTAACAGTGTTACTTTTTAGTCTCTTAGTAAGAGGTAATTTCTGTTCCCTGAATGTGAACCCTAACTTCTAATTGGTAGGTTAGCAGTTCTTAACTTCAGGTTAAAGAGTGGATGGGAAAGCTTAACAGAGTTTTGCTTCCTGGAAAAAAAAATCAAGGGCACTTAAGTACACGTGTTTAAAATATGCTGATGTTAACGTGGGGGGATTAGAAACACATTCAGCATTTAATCTTGTATGTTTCTGCAAAGTAATGCTTTTCAGAATGGTTTGACTCTGAATTCACTGAAGAATAATCTGTGCCTCCTTTTCAATGCGCACTTTATAATCAGTTAAGAAAGATGCTTTAGATAGTTACTTTTTAAATGGGTATAATTTTAAGGAATGAAGTAGATCTAAGTGGGATGCGTCTCCTTCCAAATGATAGGAGCAGTTTACGTAAGGCCATTGGTTTTTATTGGCTTCTCAATCAAGTTGGATATTTGACTTACCATATGGCCTTTGCTCCTTTGGTTGTGTCGGCTTTGGAGGTCACTGGTAGTTCTGACAGCTGACTGGAGTATCAGAAGATCATGAAATCAAGAGACTGCCAGAACCTTCTTTGACTCATCTGAATCTGTTTTTCTTTTAGCAAATGGGGAGTCATGGTTCTGATTTGTGACGATTGGAAACCAGTGCTTTTGTGATTTTTAAGTTACTTCTAAAACTTTTTAGGGAAGGAGTTTGACTTTTGTATAAGTTCTAAGAGAATATATATGTTTCTAAGTGTATTCAATCATACAAGGGAAATGGACCCTGAGGTCGTTTACGTGATTTAAAAAGATTTTTCTTTATTTTGGATTTACATATATATGGAAGTTCATTTCCTTCTTTGGAATAAAGATGTTTTGGAGCATGTACTACAAGACTGTATTGAGTAACTTTAGAAAGCACTTATTAAGCGCCTACCAAGTGCGTGGCATTGTGCTGCCTGGGAGACAAGGCGAATGAGGTCTGATACGTGTCTTCCAGGAGCCTACTGTCTGGTATGGGAGGGACTGCATACTGGTTGGACTATCATGAAACACTGGGCGGGCTGGGAGGGGTGCTGTGAGCACATGTCTTGACAGTGTGGGCCTGGAGCCCAGTTCCATGCAGAGGAGGCAGGAAACATATCCAGAAGCCATGTGCTTTGAGAAGGTAGATTGATGTGATGATATTTGTATTCCCAGAAGGGAAGAGGTGGTGGTGGAAGCAGGATACGGGCAAGAAGCAGCAGGATGAGGAAGGAAGCGGAGTCTGGGCCAGATGTGGAGATGGGAAAGCTGGGAAGATCCATAGAGATGGTTTGCTGGCAGAATGGACAGGATTTGGCAGTTCACTGGGTGGGAAGGTGGGAAAGGGGAAGAACACGGTCATTAACTGAGGTTTGATGTGCAAGGTGGTGGAAAAGGTTTGGGGAAGGTGGACGGTCAGGTGGAGTGAGACTTGCATGAGATGCAGCGGGCATCAGGACAAGCACAGTGTCTGGCCCAGGGTGAGTCCCGCCCACGTGTTGACCCTGTTCATTACCTGAAGTGTGGGAAGGACATCTGTCTCTGCTGGTGTTCAGCAGACTGTTAAAGACATGGGTCTCAGGTGATGTGAGGATTGACATTTGGAAAACTTTTGCATGTAGGTGACAGTTTAAGAATGTTACAGTGAGGAGGAACTTTCTTAGGAAGAGAAAATCTTGTTTTTATGTATGAAACAGATCTCTACAGTAGATTAAAAAAATGTTTACAGAGAAGAAAAGGGAATCAGGGATTAGACCCTAGGATATGCTTCTTTTTAGGATTCCAGGGAGAAAATTGGCTTGCAGCTCGTGGACAAGTACAGCACAGTAAGTGGTCATGGTGGGGAAGGAGGAGGGTCTCCTGAAGGGGGTGGTGGTGGTTGGTGTCAGATGTTGCTGGGACGGTGCTCTGATGATGTCAATAAGATGAGGTCCTTGGTCTTGGGGACAAGAGCGTTGGTAACCTTCCAAAGAGCACTGTCAAAGATCCAGGAGTCGGCAGTGAAAAGGAAAGGGATACAAATGACCAACCAAAAACATTGGGCCTAACACATGAGGAAAGGCTTGCAAGGTACAGTAGCCATCAGAAATCGTTTTTCACCTGTGAGATCGGTGCATATTAACTGAAAACACTGAGTGCTGGCGAGGGAATGGTGATGGAGTCATAAAGGGCCAGGACTTGTGAAACTTCCATATTGGTAAATTTGACAGTAGCTGTCAGGAAGAGAAGTTTATAAACTCTTTGGCTGAGAAATTTTATTTCTGAGATTTTACTTTACTGATTATATTCCTGCCTACCAAGATATATGTGTAAGGATGTTTCTGCATCATCATTGTAACCACAAAAAAATCGTAAATGACCTAAATGTGCAATGATGGAGGATTTGTTAAATTGTGGCTTATTCATTTGGAAGAACGCTATGTAGTGTTTACAAAAGAATGTGTTGATCTTAAAAGAGTTCCAAGGTAGGGAATTAAGTGAGAAAAACAAGATATCTACACACACACACTATAGTAGAGTTGTGTTAAAAAAATGTATACATACAGGCACACACACCCCCATATCTGAATAGAATAATTCATAAAAAGCCTGACAGTGGTCACTCTGAAGAAGAGGACTGACGGAGAATCTGTTAGGTGAAGATAGAAGGCTTATTTTTCTTTTACTGTTTGAGTCTTTAGTTGGCTCATTAATAGTCTTATAATAATTAGAAACGCTTGTTGGTCACATCATTTGCAAATATTTTCTCCCATTCTGTAGGTTACCTTTCATTTTGTTGATGGTTTCTTTTGCTGTGCAAAAGCTTGTAAGTTTTATTAGGTTCCGTTTGTTTATTTTTGCTTTTATTTCTATTGCCTTTGGAGACGGACCTAAGAAAACATTGCTACAGTTTATGTCAGAGAATGTTTTGCGTGTGTTCTCTGTTAGGAGTTTTATGGTGTCATGTCTTTTATTTAAGTCTAAAGCCACTTTGAGTTTATTTTTGTGTATGATGTGAGTGTTCTGACTTCACTGATTTCTGTGCGACTGTCCAGCTTTCCCAACACCATTTGTCGAAAAGACTGTCTTTTCTTCATTGTAAGTTCTTGCCTCCTTTGTCAAAGATTAATTGGCCAGAGGTGTGTGGGGTTTATTTCTGGGCTGTCTATTCTGATCCATTGATCCATGTGTCTGTTTTTATGCCAATGCCGTGCTGTTCTGATTACTGTAACTGTAATATTGTCTGAAGTCTGGAAGAGTTGTGCCCGCAGCTTTGTTCTTTTTCCTCAGGATTGCTTTGGCAATTCTGGGCCTTTCATTGTTCCATATAAATTTTAGGATTATTAGGTTTAGTTCTGTGAAAAATGTCATCGGTTATTTGATAGGAATGACGTTAAATCTGTACATTGCTGTGAGTAGTATCTTAACTGAGCAGGACCCCATGGGGCCTTCCTGGGACAGGCCCCCACCCCTCCCACATATCCTCTGCTGTAGCTCCTCCCTGAAGTTCCCAGGTAATAGCATCTCATGCATATTTCCTGAATTTTTCAGATGCTAAAAACTACCACCAAATGGGAGAAATTAACTACATGATGATCATGAGCACATAGCCCCCAGACCTTCTGGTGCCTAAGGACTGAGCACTGTCAACCAATCAGAATTGCACACAGCTGATCACAGCCTCTGGGTCACCCCTCCCTCAGCTCGCCTTTAAAAAATGCTCAGCTGAAACCATTCGAGGAGTTGGGGGTCCGGTTTTTTGGGTATAAGCCACCTGTCTTTCTCAGCCCTTCAGTAAACCTTTCTCTGCCTCAAACTCCAGCTTTTTGATTTGTTTGACCTCACTGTGCATCGGGCACATGAACTTGTGTTCAGTAATGGTATGGCTATTTTAACAGTATTAACTTGGATTGGAAGACCAATCCAAGAACATGGGATATCTTTCCATTTCTTTGAATCACCTTCAGATTTATTTATCAGTGTTTTATAGTTCTCTGCATGTAAGTCTTTTCACCTCCTTGATCAGGTTTATTCCTGAGTATTTTTTGATGTGATTTTAAAAGGTTTTTTTTTTTAACTTTTCCTCTGTTATTTCATTGTTAGTGTAAAGAAATGCAACCAATTTCTGTACGTTAACCTTGTATCCTGCTACCTTGCTGAATTCATTTATCAGTTCCAGTAGTTTTTGTGTGGAATCTTTGGGATTTTCTATATGTAGTATCATGTCATCTGCATATAGTGACAATTTTACCTTTTCCTTCCAATTTGGATCCCTTTTCTTTCTTTTTCTTGCCTGATGGCTGTGGCTAGGACTTCCAGGACTATGTTGAATAGAAGTGGTGAGAGTGGGCATCCTTGACTTGTTCCAGATTTTAGCGAGAAGGCTAAAAAGCACATTTTATGTTGAAGCTCTGTAGATAGGTAAAAGATTTATGAGGTATTACATGCAATTCACTCCTAATTTCTATTCTGTCCTATTTTATTCTGTCCCACTTTAAAAAATGCTAGATCCACCCATGACTTGCAGTTGGCAGTGTGAAAAACACTGTTGTGAGGTTCAAAAGGGATACTGCGTGGGGCCAAAG